GAAGCTGCACTTGTTAAAACTATATTCTTCTGTGGATTAATCACATATTCTTTTTTTTATTCAGTTCATTTCTTCAAAGAATGTCATGTTTGCAGTTTGTCAACACTGCTGTAACATTCAAGGCACAAAGCAGCAACCAGCATCACAATGAGTTTGTTGCTGTGACAACTGAGTGTTTTCTCTGAGTTTCCCACCCAAGCCAGTGAAAAGGCTCTGAGTGTTTTAGCCATCTTTATATAGTCCGTCTGTGGCTGTACACTCACTTTTTTGTGAGCGTACAGCCACATTAATGACACGACATATTGTAATTGTTTACACTGATATCTGCGATAGAGATCCAAATATTTGAGTGAAGATGAGGCTGAAATTATTTGAAGTCAGTAGGTAGTGATTTCAAATCAGTTGATCTCGAATCTGCAGTGCATGTTACTATGGAGATTGTACTTTGATAAGTAATCAACCACCTTCATAGTACAGAAAACCCAGGGTTAACCCTGAAGTTACAGAGATAAGGTGAAATCCTGCTTCGTAGTACGGTCCTCTGGGCAGCACAGATACATAAAAACTCTGGACTGACCTACTGACCTAGTGCATAAAAACCGTTGAACTGAAATATACTTTTTTCCTCGGTTCTCAGGAGGATAAGTCACACTTAATCAATAAAGAAACTCTGCTTTGCATCACATCCCTTTGTTTCAGAGACTCTTCTTATAATAACAGGAAATATTTGAGGAAGTGTTCTAGATGTAGAAACAGTTAGTGACTGACATTATAGAGATATTCATCCAATCTAAACACTCCATTTGTGTCTTTGTAGGTCCGGTGGCAGTGATAAGTGGTGAGGAAGACTCTGCCAGTCCCCTTCATCATGTTAACCATGGGATCATTAGCCCCTGTACACTGGATGCTGGACCAGCTGCAGTGGTGATTGGAATGACTAGAATTCCTGTTATAGAGAACCCACAGTACTTCAGACATGGCCACAACTGCAACAAACCTACCACCTGTAAGTGAAAACATGTATTCAGTTTTCGATTCACTTCAGTTTTACCTATATAGCACCGATTCACAACAACACTCTTGGAGTATTTTATATTGTAAGGTAAAGACAGAGGAAACCCAACAATCAGACTCCCCTATGAGTAAGCACTTGGGGATAGAAAACGTCCCTTTTAACAGGAAGAACTGGTTGCAGAACAAGGCTCAGGGAAGTGAGTCCATCTGGCGCGACATGCAAAGACATGCTGTGAAATAGAACCAGAGAATTATAATAACTAATGTCTTGATGCATGCTCAATCCACCAGGTAAGTAAATGCCAGAAGCTTGATTCTGTTCATCTGGACGAAACGTTTTCAGTGAGAGAAGTGCGCTTTGACAGTCATCCAAGTGACTTCTTCAGTCTCAGCTGACTGCAGTTTCCCCCAACCCTATAAACAGTACATTTGCACAATAACTGAAACCAGCCCACTGAATGAACATTGGGCTGTGAGGTCAGGTCTTTGATCATTAATATCCAAATTGTCATGATCATTGATCAACAACCATTGATCAGACCACTGATCATTGATCGGAGACCATTGATTAGTGGTCATGAGTACCATTCACAGAGAGTTGGGGAATGGCTGCAATCACAGCAGCCACTGTGTACTCATTGTTAACAGTTCGATTACTGTGCTCTTAAAAAAATTGAAAAACAAGCATGGCGGCATCACTGCATGTCAATATGGACTTAAAATAGAGGTAGATTTAGTCTGATATATTTGTCTCTGAATAGCTTCCCCTTGAAAATGAGGGAACTGTTCAGATGCAGGTATTCAGATTCTCTCACACACACACACACACACACACACATTTTGAGAGGAGAATATTTAAATGAATCTTACAATGAGTCACTAAGGCAAACTGTGCTTTGCACTTGATATGGTTCTGGTGGAGCAGAGCCACACATTTCTGAGCATTAGAGGCAGGGACAAGAAACGTCACAAAAGGCCTTATACCCCTGACATTAAATGGTCAAATGCCAATAAACTGGTTCACTGTTAAATAAAATCTTGATGCTGATGTTTTTGAATAATTCCACAAAGTATTATTCAGTCATGAAACTCATTGATTGTGTATGTAACAATGTTATCTTTATTATCATTTTATTCCGATGAATATTATGATATGCACTTACTCTGCTGCCATCACCTTCCTCAGCTGTGGTAGCAGCTGTGTGTAAGAAACTCAATGATGATGAGTCCCATGGTATATTACAGTGGCATTAATTGTGACCCAGTGGTGGAACAGTTTTCAGTGTGTGTGTGTGTGTGTGTGCGTCTTAGATAACTTCCTCCTTAATGACAGTAACTGTACTAATTACCAAGCAGCCATATAATCACATAAATTTATATTAAAATAATTCCTTGCATAAATATACGCTATTTGAGATATAATATTAAGGTGTAATAGAAGCCCATTTTAGTCTCTGAAAATGTGTCATTCACTGCTACAGGCAGGAAAAATATCTGTTGTAAATAAAATCCACTTGTGCTAAATCCCAAAACAGTGTGTTCAAATGAAAAAAATCTTTTTTTTAATCCATAAAACACATGTAAAAAAAAACAAAAACAAAACTATTTTAGATCATCCACAGAGAACAGTGTCAGTAATCTTCTGTTTGATTAGTTTAAAGTAGATCTATTCATAAGTTTTGCAGTTTTATTCAACTTCATGATGTAAACTGTAGCCAACAGGTGGCAATCAAACATAAGCAGCGGGAATGAATACTTGGGAGGTTTCATTTGAGTGACTGTTTTGTAGTAATAATAATGGCTGAAAACTCATTTCCTCCTTTTCTTTGTCTTTTTCAGATGTTCAGCATATTAAACGACGGGACATAATTCTGAAAAGAGAGCTTGGTGAGGGAGCCTTCGGTAAGGTGTTCCTGGCTGAGTGTTACAACCTGAGTCCCACTAAGGACAAGATGCTGGTAGCTGTAAAGGTAAGCTACATAGATATAACTTGTGTGTGTGTGTGTGTGTGTGTGTGTGTGTGTGTGTG